AAAAAAGATATGTGATAGAACAAAGAAATGTGAACTATTGTCAAGAGAGGAAAAGAAAAATCATTAGAGACAGATCTAGAGATGAACAGATTCACACTTATTCAATCATTTGATTTTTGATAAAGATGCCAAAGCAATATACCGTATTTTAATGCAAGTAACACACACTTTCTAGTTTGTTTGTCAACCACTCCCTCTTCCCATGAAGTATTTTCATAAGTGCCACAATGCCAATTTTATTTTTACATGTCGCTGTAAAAAAAATTAGCCTAGCATGTGTCATGAATTGAATTGTCTCCCCCAAAAAACGTGTGTATCAACTTGGCTCGGTCATGATTCCCAGCATTGTATGATTGTGTACCATTTTTGTAACCTGATGTGATTTCCTTACGTGTTGTGAACTCTATCACTATGATGTAATACGATGGATTAGCGGCAGTTATACTGATGAGGTATACAAGATTGGATAGTGTCTTAAGCCAATCTTTTTTGAGATATAAAAGAGAGAAGCAAGCAGAGACACATGGGAAACTCATACCACCAAGAAGGCAGTGCCGGCAGCAGAGAGTGTCCTTTGGACCTGAAGTTCCTGCACAGAGAAACTCCTAGACCAAGAGAAAATTGATGACATGGACCTTCCTCCAGAGCCAACAGAGAAAGCATCCCCTTGTAGCTGATGGCCTGAATTTGGACTTGTAGCCTACTGGACTGTGAGAGAATAAATTTCTCTTTGTTAAAAGCCATCCACTCATGGTATTTCTGTTATAGAAGCACTAGATGACTAAGACAGCGTGCTTACGAAAATACCTCACGGGGGATGGAGCAGTTGGCAAACAAACGCAGAAGGAACAAGTTATTTGCATAAAGATATGGTAATGAGGAATGAGAAGCCTTTTCAATTAATGGCGCTGAAAAAACTGGATATCAATATGGAAAAAAAAGAAAACCTGCAGTATACCTGACACAAGAATTAATTTTAAATGGATTGTAGTACTAAACATAAAAGCTAAAACTATAAAGCTTCTATAAGAAACATAAGACAATATCTTCATGGGTTTGGAGAGGGCATGTAATACAGTAAGCATAACAGAAAAAAAAGGTAAATTGGACTTTCTGAAAATTTAAAACTTCTGCTTATCAAAACGCACTATTAAGAAATTAAATAGGCAAGGTATGGATTTGGAAAAAGTATTTTCCTCACATATATCTGGCAAAGAACGTATTTATAAATACATAAGGAACTCCCACAAATCAATAATAAAAAGACATACAACCCCAAATATCAGTAAAGACTTAAACAGACACTTCATATGGTCAATAAGTAAATAAGAAAGTATTCAGCATCATTAGTCATTAGTTAAATGTAAATTAAAACTTCAGAGGGATACCACTATACACCCACAAACCCATTGCCAGTGAGGTGATTCCAAATCATATACACCACTAGAATGGTTAAATTTAAAAAGAGTGACAGTTGGCAAGGATATGGAGCTACAAAAACAAACAAAAAAAAACCGTTGTCGTCGAGTCAATTAGAATCATAGTAACCCTATAGGACAGAGTAGAACTGCCCCACAGGGTTTCCAAGGAGTGGCTGGTGCAGCAACTAGAACTTATATATTTCTGGGGGAATAAAATGAAATAAATTTGTAATTTTTTGTCAGTTTCTTAAAAATTTAAACATATATCTACTTATTATCCAGCAATTTCACTCCTAGATATTTATCCAAGAAAAATAAGCATATATGGCCTGCAAGTATCCTTGTACAAAAATGTTCATGGCAACCATATTCATAATAGTCCTAAACTGGAAATAATCCAAATGTCTATCAATGAGGCAGTATATGAGCAAAATGTGGTATGAATTCATAGAATGAAATGGCTTTTTTTCTTTTTTTGGATTCTCAATCCATTAAATATTCTTTAAATACATTGATTGTAATGATTGTATACTATTCTATGATATGGAGGTTTTGTCATTTATTCCACCACTTTCTTTTTATCAGATATGCAGGTTACCACCACTTTTGTGTATAAATAATGTTGCAGTAGACATTGTTATAAATAAACCTTGTATTCATCTTTCATTATTCCTTAGGCTAGATTTCAGAATTCAAAGTATACATTTTTTAAGCTTCTGATCATTATTTTCAGATATTTTTCCAGAGTGTAAGGATTTCTGTAGTATTTCATAGTTGTGTTGTTTTCTTTTATGTAGTCTTGCTCCACTGTGACTCAAAGTCTTTGTGGAATGAGGCATTGCGTTCAGCAGAACACTCCCACTATTGTATCACATCTCTGCACTGCTTCTGTCTTTTTTATCTCTCATTTTAAACATTGTCTACCATACTTTCCCATAGTCCTTTCATTATCACATTTCAGTTTTTATTTTTTATGTCACCAAGTTTCATTTATCTCCTAAGGCTAACAAACTCTACTTTGACTAGCCATTAAAACAATTTAGGACTGAAATAAAAATGTTTTTGCATACAGTAACATTATTTATAAAGGAAATAGTACACATCAAAAGTAAATGGTCTCAGTATAAACCAATTCATTTCTAAAAAAGTAGACTTTGTCATAAATTTTCACACTTTTGGGTAAATGATACATGATGGTATGTGATAATATTTTCCAGTATTTGGTTGTAAAGAGTTACAAATGCCAATGTAATATGCAACATGATTATGTCCGTAAGAAGACTTAAAAAAATTTTCAGGAATATTTTCAATATTTTCTTATCTTCAAAAAGATCTACTTTCTCTTCTTCAATAATTATTTCTTAAGAACTACTATCATCTCTTGCCTGGATTATTGCAATGTCTTTCTCACTGGCCTTGCCCCTATGTCTACTTCCTTGTAAGACAGATGTCTGATCACATCAACCCCGTGCTCTAAACTCTACAATGACTTCTCCTCTCACTTAGAGTAAAAGCCAAAGTCTAAATGCCTTACAAAACCTGACACAATTACCTCTCTGACCTCACTTCCACATTGGTGTCTTTCCCACTGTTCTTAGACCAAGTCAGGCTCAGTCTCATTTCAGTCTTGGCACTTTCCATCTTGTTCCCTCACCTCCAAGAGGTCTTTGCTCAAATATCCCTTTCTCAGGGAGGAGTTCCCTGAGCACTCTGTTTACAGTGTAACTCCCGACTCCATCCTTCTCCTTTGCTTTTTTCTCTTCAGCACTAATCACCATGTGACTTACTATAAATTTAATTATTTCTTTACTGCAAGTCTCTCCTCTAAAATTTAAGCTCATTGGGGGTGTTTTTTCCCTTCTTCCCTTCCTTGTTCCTTTGGTTCTTTTTCTGCTCTGCCATGAAGCTGTATATCCAGCATCTAGAACAGATTCTGGCACATAGTGGGTGCTCAATAAATATTTACTTAATCCGTGAACACTGTGGGCCCTGATACAGATGCCAGAGATAGAATCTTAAATGAAATGAAGTCTTCACCTTCATGGAACTTACTTCTTAGAGAATTTTTATTTTTAAACAGAAATATATTCTTATTGAGCTACATTGTAAGCATAAATTAAGTAATTAATGGAAATGGCTGCTAAATTATTATTCCTTTTTCAAAGCCAAACCAAATTTTAACCATTTGTTAGTTTTTAAATTTCATTTTATTCTCCAGTATCTAGCATCTATGTCAGTGTGGTCAGATATCTAATACTATTCTATAGTTTCTTTATTACACTTTTTGCTTCATTTTCTTTAGAAAAGTAGAAACAGCCTAGACTTTAAGTTTATCAAGCATCACACATGTTTTAAAAATTATTTTTCAAATAACCTGGTTTTGCCAAGTATATTTATAGATAAATCTTCCACCCCTAAGCACAATGAAGTGGAAATGTCACACCTGTTTCTAATTTATTTGAACTTTATACACTTATGTGGAAACCACTTGATATTAAATGTATCCTTAATCCTTTTATCAGGCTTCCAATTTATATTTGCTTTTTTTTTCCCCTTCTAAGAGAGGAAGAAATTATCAAACAGATGTAAATCTAAACTACAACTCTCAATGAGCAATAACAATAAATTCCCTTAGTTAAACCAAAGTAACATGAGAACCAGTTTGGGATATGTTAGGATTAATTCTCCCCCTGCTCCCCCCACCCCCCAGTTTTTAAAAGGAAACATTTTATTCACCATTTGTGTCTTTTTTTCACTCTAGTGACCTTTGAGCAGATACTTCTATGTCTCTTTTTTATGCATTTATAAGGAACTATAGCAATTACAAATTTGTTTAAAAATATGGTCAAAAATGATAAAAAGAAACAGGTTATATTATCAAAATGACTCTCTTCTTTGATGTTAAAGGAGAAAATAAACTTTAAGTGTGATATTGTAGGTTAGTTATAAGAAGTAGCAGTAGTAAATAGTTATAGACAAGGAAAAATAGCCACTTTTGATTTTTTTTTATTTACTTTTTGAAAACCTTACTATAAGAAAAGAAAAAGTTTGAGATTAAAAAAAATTCATCAAAAGTCCAGTTTGAGGAAATTCAACACTAGCATGATAATTATTAGACAGTAAAGAGTTATGCTAGTAATATTTAGATGCATAATTTAATATTTATAATTGATGTATCATTTTACAATGTGGAACAATAGTATCTACATAGTTGGATAAAATGATTCCTAAATAAGTTAGAAATGTCATATTTCAAAAAAGACTTCCTAATGATTTTTTTCCTAATAAGTCTGACTTAGAGATATAATAGGTCAAATAAGGAAACCAGGAGACTTCTTTTTGATTTCCCATTATAGACTTAGACATACTGTTTCTTTCACTATAGGTTTAAATTGTAAGTTCTGTGTTTGTGTGTGTGTTGCCCACACTACCAAAACACTGGAATACTAAAAATAAATAAATAAGAAAGAAAGCATTTCAGGGTAGGAGATAACATTAACTCTAGGCTTGTGTTTTTGTTTTCAATACAAGAATTTATTTTGAAAACATGAGCAGATTAATCAGAAAAACAAAACTCACCTGTCTTTGCATCCTTCCAGTCATCTGAAAAAATAGTCTTGGTCTGGATAGTGTATTTAGAGATAGGGCTATGATTGTCTGAACCACAGCTCCAAGTAAGTGCCACAGAAGTGGCTCTAACATCTTCTATTCTCAGACCACCTGGAGGGCCTGGAGGGCCTGAAATGAAAATTTGGGTAATGAATCAAGGAGTTTCCCAACAAGTGAATTAAATACACATTAGAATACAAAAGAACATTTATACAATATAATCTATTTTGCCACATTCTTTTAAAGATAAACTATAAGAAGTGATAATACCACTTTGCATTTATGGTTTTCACTGAATGATTTTGTGACCTCTCTTTTTAAGGAAGGAGGTGAATACTGCCATTTAAAAGCAACATTGAGTTTTTTAGTCTTTGACATAAAGTGCAATTAGCATCACCAGGTCCTAATACAGATTCTAGCAGAGTGAGATGTAATCAATGCTTGCTGAATGCATGAATCAGAGATGGTACCACAATTCAGTCTATATCTGAAAATGTCCAGTTAGTCAAATGTTTTATTCTGCCTCCCCAAAATTGAATAAATACTTTCATATAACCCTAAATGTTTAGGTAATTTATTTTACTTGCATGGGAAGTTTCTGAGAATTATTTTATGAATCATTTTGCTGGTTACAGAATAGGAATAAATACTTTTAAAAATGCTTATACTTATATAAAATGTAGAAAACAACTGCCAATTCAGAGATATAACAGGAATGTTCTGAAAGCGTTGAATTAAGAGTCTTAGGATAGAAGAATTACTACTGCAGAACGTAAAACAATGTTAAAATGGGTTTTCATAGATGCTTCAGAACTAAGTACCAGTATTATTCATTTATTGACTAAACTGAAAGCACTGCGCTAGGCAGTAGAGATGAAAAGGTAAATGAAACACAACTTTTGTGCTTCGAAGAGTTCTTTGTCTTTAAAAGGATGAAATGGACCAGCAAACAAATAACTACAAGAGAAAGTAGTAAATGTCGTGAAAATGGCATATAAGATACTTTGCATTACGTTTTTTCATTTCTTTAAATAATTAAAAAAGTTATTTAAGTGGCAAAGCAACATCCATGGTTTACAATGCAAAAGAAGTCTCTTAGTAAATAGAAAGTTCCCAGGATAGATGTTTCAGAAAATCCCATCACTTGTTTTCTTTGGCATTAGAAAGGAGTCCATCCCCATACTGAAATGTGTATATTGAATGTAATGATTAATCAAATTTTTTTGTAAAATGGTACCTCTATTATTCCTAACTGAATATACTACTACATAAAATATTTGTTTTTTATCTTCTATTTGAAAATAAATACACATTCTTTACTTATTGACATGGGTAGGTTCCAAAAACCAGGTTGTTATGTGAAAACTGGCATTACACGAAAATGGAAGATGACCACATCAGATCACAAAATGGAGGATGACTACATCATTATGTAACTGACAAATTATACCTTCACATAACTGCAAAATTACATCATTCTATAACTGTCAAATTACATCATTACATAACTGCCAAACCACTGAGAATCATGGCCCAGCCAAGCTGACACATAACCTTAACCATCACAGCCAGAGTTACTCTCTGCTTGCACCTTGGTGTGTGTTACTGCCAGACATATGCCATTAACGTGCAAAATAGTTAGATAGATTTTTTGCTATTGTTGTAAATGCAAAATATTGGATAACCAGATAGTCAGTAAGTGAGAAGTAGGTGTTACTTTATATTTATAATATCAGATCAGTTGCTTAGCTTAGATGGCTTTCTTCTCCTATAGACTTTGCTCTTTGCAGAGGTATAGGAAACACCCAAAACCTTGCCAATTTCCGTACAATTGTTCCCAAGGTGGAAATGGTGCATGTAGATCAACACAAACGCATCACCACTAATAGTAAAATAACACAAGCCACACCCTGTTGATGGTAGTAAATTTTATTATTTGGAAATGTAACTTATAAATATAATAAGCGTAAATAAACTTTTATAAATTTATAATTTACAATAGTGAACTTATTCTTCTTGATGTTAACTTAAAAGCAAACTAAAAGGAAGAACAATACACCTTCTAAAATAAATGAAAATAGACAAATACAATAGTATGGAACACATTCATTATTCAGAAAGAACATATTGCATTTTTCATGTCTAAAAGCCACATTGAAATACAGTGCACATCCTTGTTCAGAACAAAGAAGTTCATTACTTTCGCGTAAAGCATCATCCAAAGTCAATAACTTGGTTGAATATTTCAGGGTATTAGAATTAAAAATGAGAGATGAAAAATGAAAGAAATATTTTTCAAAAAGGAAGAAAATTTCCCATAACGTATGCATTCAGATACTTTTTCTGAGAATAAGGGTATGGCATTCTGAAAAGGTTAAAGGGAATTTAAGACAAAATTGCTATAGGTTAGTCTTTAACCATTGAAGTATAAATTGTTTCCCTGACTGTATTCTCTAAAGTTCTTACAGTTAATTAAAAAAAAAAAAAAATTCGTAAAGGTCAGTTAGAGCCACACATTATCAGAGTATTTGTTAGGGCACTATCGGCATAATCACTTCACTTAGTTATTTATCGAAGAGCAATATTGTTGAACAAGGCACTGTAATTATATTTGTCCATTTTTTTGTTCTTTGCTATATTCCTGGCCTATAGTGCGCTCTTAATAAATACGGGTAATCATAAATTGATCTTCACCCAGTTCTATAAACATAATGATCATCCACAATATAATCTCTATTATTCCACTTGTCTTGAAATAACATACCATCCTAGGGAGGTGACATTGAGAGAACAAACGGAAAGAGGTTGGTTAATGTCCCTAAAACCTTAGTGTGGCACCATTACTTAGCATTGGTTCTAATGAAGTGAAATAGGTTTTCCCATTCAGTAACCAACTGCAAGTATTTCCCAGATAATAACTGAGAAAAAATATACTATCAAAAAGCATGGGTTTTAGAATTGAAATAGGCTTGGCTTTAAATTCTGTCCTCTGAAATTTGCTTGTTTGACCTTGGGCAAGTTTCTCAAATTAACTAAGCTCTAGTTTCATCTGTAAAATAGGAGTAATAAAAGTTGACCACATAGGATTGTTATGAAGATTGAAGGAATATCTGTAAAGAATGCAGTACTAGTCCTGGTCCATAGAAATCTCTCAGTAAACCTTAACTATTATCAATACTACCATCGTTATTTCTAAAAGAGCTTTCTGGAGATCTGAGCTACCTGGCAAGAGTAATTATTCATCCTTGTTAATAATTTCTAGGAATTCTTTCACCAGATTGTTTATTTACCACTCCCTGTCACTTATAGGGTCATGATGTGTGGGAATCAACTCGATGGCAATGGGTTTGGGTTTTTTTGGTCACTTAAAAGAAAATAGGGTTCTCAGTAAATAAAGTCTTTTCTGGTAAATTTGATGGAGGTGAGGAAAAGTTGAGAATGCGAAGGTACCCTAATGGATACTAAGGAATGGTATGTCACAAAAACAGAGGAGCTTTATCATATGAACAAGTGTGGGTGACAAGAGCTCAACCTAGAGTGAGCCCTGCAGTGTCTCTCAGAAGGAAGTCCTTCCTGTCCTGCAAGCAGTATAGGGTGATGCTACTGCCTCGGTTTTTCTGCTCAGACAGGAGAGAAAAGTGCTGTGGTAGAAAACAAAATAATGCAGCTACTTGTTCCTCAGAGCAAAAGAAGGTATTTAGGAACTGGCCACCCTTATGATTCCTTCATAAGTGAAAAAAAAAGTAAGACACAATTCCGATCCTAAGACTTCCTTTTTTTTTTTCTTTTTAGCTTTCTTCACTTGTTCAAACACTCTGGGAAATCTTTAAGGAAAAGCTTGAAACCAGAGAAAGTATAAGGAAGCTTATTTCATTATAACTCTACTGATTTATATCTTTCTAGTTTCTTAGATGGTCCTCAGGCATTAAATTATAATGATACAGAAAAATTGGTCACATGGAAAGGACTTTTGGAATTTGATTTGCATTTTAAATGCCTAGATACATTAGATGACATATTATTTTAGTCTTTCGAATTTTTCCTTTATTTTGTTTTTATCATTAAAGATCCAAGATGGGGGGAAAAAGTTACAGTGTTTCTCTGACCAGTCCTGGCAAAATCTTTCATCAATTCTTCTGTCTATTCTTAAATATTTGAAGAGTTGGAAAGAGAAGAAAATCAGGAGAAAAGAGATATAAAGAAGGGGATAAAAGTCATTTAAAACGTGCTTTTTGTTTTTGCTTTGATGAATACGTAATTATCTTTACCCCTCTCCTGGAACCACCACCCCCATGTCCTGTTTCTGAAATGCTTTTAATTAAGCTCATATACCATATCCATAAAAACTGTTTGGCTCTTTTTGTTCCGATTCTTCCAAAGCTGGAGCCCTGGTGATGCAGTGGGTCAAGTGATTGACTGCTTCCTGAAAGACGGGCTGTTCGAAACCACCAATGGCTCCCCAGGAGAAAGATGTGGCAGTTTGCTTCCATAAAGATTTACAGCCTTGAAAACCCTGTAGCGCAGTTCTACTCTGTCCTATACGGTCTCTGTGAGTCGCAATCAACTCAGTGGCAGCGGGTTTGGTTTTTTTGGGTTTTGGGATTCTTCCAATTACTGACAGGATGCCATTAAGAATGGACATAAATAACTATGTTAGGCCTATCCAGAGACTGAATTTCTCTTTTATAAAATGAGTAGTACAAACTTCAACGTTGATTCTTTGCATTTTTTTCCCATTAATATCATAATGTTCAATTCGTATCTTTCTGTGGGTACTCTTCTGCACTTCATCAGGCAGAGGCTGACATTATAGACTTTTCTATGTGGGTTATCCTCTCACTACTCTTGTCTCTCACCCATGATAGTCTTCCTCCCCAGTTTACGATTTGCTTTCAAATTCAATTTTTGTTTTTATTCTTTAATATTTATATCATTTTGTTAAATTTTTAACTCTTTTTTCAAACAATTCTGAGTTATATGAATTACTGGGTAATATTTCTCTTTGGTGAAATCAGAAAGAAAAAGAAGAAAAGAGGAAAAAAATGATGTCTAAAGATGATGTGAACTGTAAGTGGGGGAGTGCTCCTTGACATTAAAATAAAGAGTTCAAGTAGAAATTGGAAGCCTTA